GCGATTTTGTTGGCCTCTCTTTCCGGGGCGCACGATTCCAAACCGTAATGTTCCCAATCCTTAAGACGGGGAATATGCAACTTTTTCCCTCTTTCTCGGGAATACGTGATTCTAAGCAATGACGTCAGAATAAAATAGGTTTGTGCGCATGTACCTCTTCTGGAAAAGTCGCAGCATGTTGGTTGATATACAGCTTCGAAATGTGCGAAGCTGAAATCGCCATGCCTGAAACAACTATTTATGTCATTTTCATTAAACAAAAGAAGAGAATCTGCTAATTTCCTTGGTTGGAGTATCGACACATTAATTTAATAAAGAGTTCGTGAGTGATGCTAGGTAAGTCTAATTTTCTTAAGAGTACCGATAGTTCTTTTCCCACCCAACTATAAAGTTTTAACGCTTTTTTTTTTGCTAGTTTTTCCTTTAAAAACCTTTTCCAGAAAGATACTAAGTGAAATTACGTTCAATATGTAAATAAACAGTTAGGATATGTATGTTGAATTATTAAACATTATTAAAAATATATGTTCTTAGTAGTTATAGCTTTGGCTCCGTTACGAATATTATATTAAGTTATAGAATTTTTTATTTATATTACTTTATAAATTTTTATTGCATTTGATTTGTACTGTTATTAAGTATCCTTCCATTAACAGTCATATGCATAATTCATGTCATTGAGCAGCTCTAATGCGACGTAAATAAAGTACCTATTAATTATTAATCTCTTCTTAACAAAATATCGTGTATGACTTTAGTTTAAGGCATTATTTTTTCTAATCAGTAAATAATATAAACAATTGTATCTATTAATTTAATTTTAGTTGCATGGAGAAAATTTTTTAATAAACAAGACATTTCTAGTGACAAAATATATAACCTCTAACATGAGGCACATCTTAGTTTTAAAACACCTTTCAATTTCACAATATATAGAAATTGATAATTTAATATTTGTTGTTACTATTATATTTTGTTGCTACAATATATTTTTACTTTTGAGATATAAAGAGTATGAGTAAATAAGTTACCTTATATTTTAATGTTTAAAATATCAAAATTTATATTTTCAAACACTAGGTTTTTATATAAAGCCATTTAAATAACATGCGTAGGTGTGTGGAAATCAGGGACAATCTCTTCTGTCAGATGCATCTGCAAAGTGGCATCCCAATGTTTTTACTGCAGAAGACTAAAAAATATTTGTAAATTTGAAGGAAAAAAATCATTGGAAAGATTCATATTTATTAAAATTTAAATATCATAAACTCATTTTAATTCTAATGCATGAAGAAATTATGGTACTTATGTATTTCAGGTGCAATAAATAAGTAACCAAATTATTTGTGGTGTTTAATTAAAGTGGATAATGGGGAACATAATAGAAAGATTGTGGTAATAGTGTTTTTCTGACTCCAAAGATTGATAATTAACAATATTATTCTTTTTTAAAAATTATTGTTTCTAACAAAATATTCTTCATTTTCCTTAGTGTCAAAAATATTTAAATTTTAATGTTAATCAAATGTTATTAAAATTGTTTAAAAATAGTGATTTATCCTAACTCGTTTTCTTATAGTAAGTGTACCTACCTAATGAAACATAAAATTTCTAGTAAATAAAGTTTGAGTATATTTATTTGTTAAACAGATACCCCTTTAATTGGATGCTTATGGCCTCACTTTCTTTTTTTTTTAAATTTTCAGCTACATTTATGCAGACAGCTTTCTATTTGATGAATGAGATGATTTTTCTACTGTAAAGAGGATTCTTATCCAGAAACAAGTTTTGATATCTAAATTGAGGACAGTGGCTAAGCTGAACTAAATATCACATGGCATCTACAGTGAAATCACCAGTGCAATTAAGACAATGACAAAGGCTAGTAATAGATCATCAAGCAAGGTTTTAACTGATCTTCCAAGTAACCTCCGTAGACCAGCGGCTGCTACTAACTATCATTTATCATAAGTTTCATAATATTTTACAATGCTCTACATTATTTATGGACATCTTAAGTCTTTCTTATTCTTTTCGAAAAAAAGAGCTGTGATAATAGACTGTAATTTATTGTACTTAAAGATTTTTAGCTGCAATTTTCATTTTTTAATATTTTGAAATTTCTGTTACCTTTATATTTTTCAAACGATTGAAATATATAAAACCTGTATTCATGAAAATGTCTTTGATAAATACATTTTTTTTAAAATAATCTCCATGCTTAAAATATCTTAGTATTATGCATTAAAATTTTGTGAAAAATTATATTTAATCATATTTTATAAAAAATAAAAAAAATTCATTGATGTCTTAAACAATTTTGTGTTGAAATCATAAGATAGTGGTCACATATAGTAGTAACTAAAACTAATTTCTTTGTCTGAAAATCATTGAAGACACATAGCACTATTTTAACAATGCTCATTCGAAATTGCTGTAAAATTTATGCAAACATTTAAGACATATTGAACACTTGTTGAATTCAGTTGCATACAACAATGAGCCAGTTCCTTCCAACCTTGAGTGCGATTGTTGCCCAGCACATTGCAGGTTCAAGTGAATTTGTTTTGTAAGCCTGTGCTTGATTGTATTTAGTTTTATATTATTTTAAAAACAAATGATCATGGATTTTATTTGTTTATTTGACATGCTGTGCTATTGATTTGAATTCTTTTCTTAGTTGCTTTAAATTCACATAATTTGATATTAATTCTACTTAGTAAAATTTTTTCCTCTTTTTATCTGGTAAACAAGTTTTTTTAAAAACAAATAGGATTAATTTGTTTTGACATGCTTTAATGCATTGAAATTCACTTAATTTGATTTTAATGTTTACCTCATTTTTTCTATTTAGTATAAGTTTTTTAAAAATATCCATTTGATTTTTCTACTATGCCTATCAGTCAGCTTACTAAAAGGCATATAATATATAAATTATTAGTCGAATGGGAAAAATGCTATTGGGATAATAAATTTAAAAATTTTTTAAAATTATATTGGCAGATCAAGTTAATTACTGCTAGTTTCTTATTTCCTTAGGTGTAGAAAATTTTTTTTTCCTGTCTGTATGCATTATTCAAGTGTTTCGTTCTATGTTTGATCTGAGTATGAGACCAGAAAAAAATGCAAGTTTTCTTAATACCCATGATTCATAAAGTTATTGTTTTAATTGTACTATTTTTAATTATTATTATTTCTTCAAAGCTTTCAGGTTTAAGTAAAGTTATTTCACCTGTGCATATTACAAAATGTTTAAGTTCATTATATTGTTTATAAAATAAGATATCTGAGATGTGCTTTGAAATCAGTCCCCATTGATAATAATTGCAATTACTAAAATATATAATAATTTATTAAATTGTTATTATTTACGTAATTAATTGTTATAGTCGACAGTAACATTATTTAAACCTCATTTACAAATTCAAATTTATTCTGTTTCAAGTATTGAATAAATTTTTTAATTTTTTTTTCTGTTCTCTATGAGGATATAAGATTTTTTCTTCAGTAATATTATTAAAACTGTATTTCCAAAATTCTGTTTTCATCTAGTTTTAAACATTTATTTTAACTGCATTTTACGATTTAGAATATTTTATGAAAAAGTATATTCACATTGCTTAGCAATTAGATTTTTTTATAATTTTAGTATTACATGCTTTATAATAGTTTCATAATCCACAGTGGGTATTGAATATTGTTTTAGTGCTTTTGAAATAAAAATTATTGTTAAAAAATTATGGTGCTTTCTTTTAGATTTTTTTTACTATACATAACAAAGTTAATACCTGTTTTTGAAATGTAACTGAAAGCTTTCTAGCATTATGTTCTTTAATATAATTTTTAATGGGCATTTTGGAGGCTTTTTCTTGAGGGATTATAAATATTTATTTCACTGGAATTGTTCAATTTAAGGTTATCTTCAAGAATTGTAGTTTTTATTCTATTTAATGAATTTGTTTTAATAACTTGACTTTATTATTCAACATATTTTATTTGTGCAAATGTTTTTTCCCCCCATGACCCTGTCCTTAAATTTTTTGGTCCCTGGTGACCTACAAAATAAGAAGTGTTAATTTTTGATTTCCGGTGGAAAAGTATATAAAATGTAAGAAAGTTTAGATCAACAAACTTTATTCTGCCTTACCGAATAGAAACTCAGTTTTCCACAGCGGTTTCTATTTTTTTTAATTCATAATTTTTATATTCTTTTCCTCCTTTATCAATTATGCAAAAACATGAAAAGTTCGCTAAGACTTAAAAATGTAAATTGGATGCAATCAACATTTTTTGTGTGTTTAATGAAAATAACTAACGTTTGTTAAAAGTAAATATTATAAATAAATAATGTTTCGATTGAGTATAGATCTTGTATTTATCCTTTTTTAACCCTTTATTTTCATGTACTGTTGCTTTCAATGCATAAGTATTAACACCTTTTTTTTTTTTAAACTTGAATTCTAAAAAAAAGTGTTTAATGCAATGATTGTAGAATATCCTATTTTACTGGCTTCTTAAACAGTTGCCCAAAATTTTTTTATAGTTCGTATTTTTATCCTGTTTGGTATGTGTCCTGTTACAAAGGTTAATTAAAATATATAAGGATTATTACAATTCATATTATCTGTGGAAAATATCTCAATACTAATGTAATGTAACACTTGGTAAATTATTAATAAATTTGTTCTTTGCTTATTGTGGTTTCTTTCAAATTACATACTTCAAACAAGCATTTTTCAAAATTTTTAATTCAACCCATTTTGCTTTATTTAAAAAAATTTCTGGTAAATATCCTCATCTGATAATCAAAATTTAGATTATGTATTTAGAGATAAATTCAAGTTCTTGATAATGTTTTGATATAAAACTTGAAATCGAAATGTGTGAATCTTTAGAAGCAACTTTAATCATGACTAATGAAATAATTTTTCCAATTAGTTTTAGAAAAGGCAAAATTTACAGGCAATACTGGTAACCAGTTTTTGTCTTTAGAAAAAAAATTCCCAACTCTAACTACTGTTTAAATTTTAATAAATCTTGTAAGTTGATTTTAGAATGAATTCATATAGTTATGTTATTATAAATAATAAAATTTTGAACTTTCCAAAAATAAAATTTTTTTAAAGAATATAAACTTTAATACACGCATTATTGATGCTTCAAATAGTGTTCTTAATTAATGGGAAAATTACGTTTTTAAATTAATCTAAACTGATATTTTCTATTTTATTAATTAATGGAGCTGTTTAGGTGGAAAATTTTCCCAGGAGTATAAAATCTGTTCATAAAACGAATAAATATTTTAGTCAAAAAATCCTTAGAAACAAGTGATAAGATATTACTTTATTAAAAACTTCATTCTTTCAAAAATATACAAATAGGAAAAAACAGTAGACATATTTCAAGCGCTCTAAAATAGGCACCCATTTTCAAGACACGAAGAAAGAAAAATGATTTGAAATATAAAATGTGAAGGTACGTATTTTAAATCACTTGTTTCTTCGTATTCGCGTGTGGCAAAGTCTAAAAAAAATGCAAGCTTTAAATATGTCGATCATTTCCACTGTATATATTTTTTTATCAAGTTATGTCTTCTAGGTTGTTTCAAATACTGTTACATATTTAAAATAAAGTAATCTACTAAAATAAAAATTATCTAATTTTTATTAAAAAAAGTCGAAAAATAAAACATGCTTTTGAAATTTTATTACTCGAAAAATTCTTTTTATTTTTTTAAGGTCAAAAACCAGAATTCATCGAAAACTAAAATGTAAATTTATTAAAAACAAAGTACGCTTATATGTGTGATTACTTAACTCAAGATATCGCCTGCCAAAATTAATTAGCATATTTAAGGTTAGTTAGTTTAATTAATATTTAAGTTAAGGCCCCTCAATATATCAAGGTACATTCTATGAAAATATATGATTGCTGAAAAAAAAAAGTCTTCCGTTTTTTTTTTTCGCCCTCAGTACAATGGTTATTTAATTATTATTCAAAAATTAATTTTAAAAGCATTTCTAATTCAAATTAAAACTATCAAGACACTCCCCCCCTTATAAAACGAAAAAGTCGGTACGCGCCTTTCAGTTTCCAATCGTTACTTAAAACTCCTATCTTCAGAAAATCTTTATATCTATAAAATCTCCTTTATAGCCTTACACAATTAGTCCATATACATATATATATATACACACAATTTGTTTCTCACGAATACCATATATATATTCTTATTTTTTCAAAATCTTATTAAGAACACATGTTCTAAATTTTAGCTTTCCATTTTCTTGATACTTAAATGATTCATATACTTCCATTAACTATTTTTAGATTTTACTGTAAAAAATGGTTTAGTTGTTATTGCTTAAAACCCATTACAAAATCCTGTAATTTTCAGTGAAATATTTCAACTATTTTTAAATTTAACATTGAATAAAAAACTCCTCTGAAAAAAATACTCCAGTCTGAAGACATATTTCTTCTATCTCTGGTGACCATAGTTTTTGATGGTCTAAAAGTCGGTGAAAATCCTTTGATTTCTCTCTCTGGAGTGCCTACGTCCCCACCCACAGGATCAGGGGTCAATTTGCAGGTGCAAATGTGGGGGTGTCAAGACATACTGGCAGTTTTAATCAAATGCAGACTTCTTTGTTTAATCTTAGCATTAGCGTTATTTTGTAACCCATGTTTTAATGCTGGCTTTTAAATTTGAGAATGGAGTTGAAAAGAAAAATACATTCCGAATTGGTTAAGTTTTATCCTAGTTGCGTTTTAGATGAAGATTCAAAAAATGATGAATTAATAGTTCGTCTGAGTCTACAAGATGTTAGTGAAGTTGAAGATTTTAAGAACACACTAAGCAGAATTACTAATACGGAGTGGATCACCAAAAAGGAAAATTCTGATTCTGAAAGGTATGTTTATTCTAATCTTCTCCGTCAAAAACTATATGAATTAATAAAACTAGCATATATATGCAAAAAAAAAAAGATATTAATTTCTTTTAAAAAATATTTAACATAGTATATTATGAGAATTATTTTAAGCATAATAAGTCTATTGTCAGAAATTATTTTGAACCATGATCAGAATAAATCTTTATTGGTATTATAATAAAAATAAATGTATAAATTACTGACCAGAACAAAAAACCTTTAAGCCAAAAACCATGTTTTATAATCATATTTCTTTTTAGCCTATACATGTTCATGGGCATCCACAATGAGAAACAAAAGTGTGCACTGGAAAATCCAACAAATTTTAATTTTTAGTTAGCTGTTATTGCTATTAATTTTTTATTCTAAATAAATAGAAATATTGCTACTTTTATGTCATATTGCATCTTTGCAAATGCATTAACTCGGCCTATAAGTTGCCTCTTTTAATTTAAAGCTACAAACCTTATTTCTGTTAATTATATGTGGTTAATTAATGTTGTGATTAAAAAAAATTACATTTATCAGACAAGAAGAGCTGGCTTACTGTTTATCTTTTACTAAACACAGCCTTTGTTTATTTTTAAAAAAAATTCACAAAAAATAATTTTATTAATAAAAATTATATTACTTAATAATATTTTGAGTTTTATTTTAACATTAAAATGCATGTTAAGGATTTTTGTAGGCTAATAAAGTGCACAGCAATATTATGTATGATAATATGTAATTTTTTAAAGAAACTTTAAAAAAGGGGAAGAAATAAAAGACTTGTCACTAAGAATCTAGGATAAAATACAAATATTTCAGGTAGAGACAAATGAAATCTAAATTTTAAAAAAAAAATTAAAAAGGAGAAACATTATTTTGCATGCATTTCCCCTTTTCCCAAATATTTGTATTTTAAAAAAACAAATATATGGATAAAAATTTTATTTAGCTGTGTTTTCACAGTATTTACATTCTATTTTTACTATTCAATTATTCTTAAAAATAATTTTCACATCACTTTATTTTCAGCATTCGTGATTTCCTTTTTGTAATGATAAAGGCAATAATTTATTGTAGTAAAATTAATGATTAAAGGATGAAAAAATATAGAACAATCAGCTCTATTTTAAACATGGCATATATAGAACATTTGATTCATATCTTTTATCTTAATAGTTAATATAGGAATAGTAAAACAGCTACTATCACTGTATAAATTCTTGTTGATATAATAAAATGCCCTATTTCAGGTTTACTTTTTGGAAAAGATGGGTCTGTCAGCACAATCAACTTCATAAATCCCCTGATTCCAAAAGAAATGCAAATTGTAAAGCCCAAATGACCCTAATCATAAAGAAACTAACAAAACACACCATAAGAAAGGACAAGTTTTTGAAGCAATCACCTCCTTTACCAGTTTGGGTTACTCTGAGCACACAACACACTCATAGTGTTCATTCTGCAGAATCTCTTCGAATGTTAAGAGTTACTGAAGAGGTATGTACTGGCATATATATTTGTGAATAATTTGTTTGTCTCTTTTTTTTCTTTCAATAAAATAATTAGCTTTTTTGCATTTTCAGGTGAAAAACAACTTTAGTGAATATTTCTCTTCTGGAATGACTCCAGCAGAAGCTATTATGCATCATGAGACAAAATTTTTATTGGATAATAACTATGAAGATTTAGCAAATGCTTCTAAGAATCCTACGCGAAGACAGGTTCATTATTTGCATGATTGCTGGCGCACTATAAATTTAGGATCTTACTTAACCCCATTAGAGAAATTAAGAGAGAAAATTCCATCATATAATTCTAATGGTAAATTACTTTATTTTTTTTATTTAACTACTGATTCTGTATATTTAAAGATTTGAGAACTGTTTCATATACACTAATAAAAATTACGAAGCTGAAATAAAAAGGGAAATATAAGAACTTTATTATTTTAGAGAGACAATATTTTAAGCATAAATAATTGACCTCAATTGTTTGATCTATAAATAAGTAGCTTGTGAATTTTTTTTAGCAGCATTAATGGTACTACATCCTAACTCCATATGCTTTTGTCAATTCCTTGCTTTTCTCTTTAAAAAAAAAATTAATAATGGGAATTATAACTTTATTTGTTCATACTTTTCTTGGAAGGGAAAAAAAAACATTTTTTTCTTTCAAATTTTTGTATTTAAAAAAAAACTTTTCAAGCAGCTTTATTACAAGAAGTTAAATTTGAATTAGATTAATGTTAACCTCAAATTAAAAAAAAGGAAGAAACAAAGATATTTTAATATAACAATTCAACATAAGTAAAAATTATTTAATTAAAAATATTTTAAATTTAGGCATTTAATAAAATTTTTAAATATTTCTAGGTTCAATAATAAAAATCTATGATGTGAATGATGGATGGGCAGTGCTTCTTGTTTCTCCAATCATGAAAAGAACCCAATTTTTGGCAGCTTCAAAAGAAATGATTTTCATTGATTCAACATGTAGCTGTGAGAGAACGTCATCAACTCTAACAGTTCTATTGTCAGCAACAAAAGCTGGAGCTATACCAATAGCCACACTTATTCATAAATGTCAAACTACAGAAAATTATCTTAATGCATTCACATTATTAAAAGAAAGTTTTCCCAAATGCTTCGGAGGTGAAGATGTAAGTATTTATTTTTAAAACATCTTATTTACATAAAGCAAAGTAATGAAAAATTCATCTTTTCTTAAAAGATTTATAAAAATAACAATAAATATATTAATTTAATAGAACCTTAATAAATATAAGCAATCTAGATTCATTAAGTGAATAATTCCAAGAAACTGAAAAAAAAATTTTTTTTATTCGANTTAAAAACTTCATTTGCTTCAAAAATTATAAAAATGGAATATATCAACATGTTTCAAGAGCTATTTTATTCTGATATGTAAAAATTTTCTGCATTTTCCTCATTCACATAGGGCAGGGATGGCGAACCAATGTCACGCCACATAATATTTTGGGCACGCCACCGATCATGAAGTTCATTGTGAAGCAATTTACCAATTAAATTAAAATTCACAAAAACAAACATAAAAAAATAAACAATTATTAAAAAAAAATTACAATTAATGCCAAAAAACAATTAATTACCATAAAAAACAAGCTAAGAATAAATAACTAGCAAAAAAAATTAACAGACCTGCTTAAAATAACATCTTACAACCTAATATAAATTATTTGTCATCTAATTTGCAACAACAGAAGTCATACTGATGTTACTTTAAGTTGAATTACGCTTATAACTGAGACATTGCGAAATGTATTCTTTTTCATAGTAAATAAAGAGTTTTGAGTTGATAGTATTTAGTGTTATTATTTTCCCAATTATCACGAAGTCAAAATTGTTTGACGGTACGTTTATGACCAAATTAAACAATTTTTTTTTAGAAAAAATGGCACGTTGGTGCATAAAGGTTCGCCACCCCTGATATAGGGTGAATCTAGAAAATGGGTGCCTATTATAGAGAACTCGAAACATGTTTACTTTTTCCACCTTTACAATATTTTTAAAAAATTAAGTATTTACATAATCTAGATTATAAATTCAAGATTAATAAAACTTTTCACAGTTATTTAACTTAAGGTAATATAATATATCTCAAATGTGTCTTTGTCTTTAATACATACACAAGTGCATGACAACATTTTGATGAAAATTACCATTTGAGCTTAAAGAATGAAAATAAAAAAAAATCCTAACTATATAATTTAGAAATAAGCATTGAATTTCTCTAGTTGAGCAATGTATTGTTTCATTATACTGTATATTTTAAACATCTGATGGATTTAAAATTTATAAAATTTAGTCACTCATAAATTAATTTTCGACTCTGTAAGTACCTCTTAACTCTTTTTAAATAACTCTAAAACCAATGTTTTCAGAAAAAATATGAAAAATTTCTTTAATGAACAAATTTTAAAATATGTAGTATAAAACCTTTTGGAGCTTAAAAACTTTAATTAGTATTTCAAAACATTTACTAACTGAAGAGTTTCCATAAAGTTTCAATAGTTCCATTATCACTCATATATCATTAAGCCATAATAAAATAATAAGAATAATGCAGGGTTCCAACTCTTTAAACAGAGCAAAAATTATAAGACTTTTAAGGACTTTTTAGAAAAATTAAGGACCTTAAACATAGTATGATTATTTTTAATCGAATACCACCAGTGACACTTATTTACTTTTCTTAAAAATCAAGTAAAAAAAAAGAATAAGAAACAATTTTATTATAATGTAAGTACTGATATAATTGTATTAATTAACAGGGTTCACCGAAGTAGGACCAAATAATTTCAGCTAACCAGGGTTGGTTTTTTTAAAAAAAAAAATCTTCAGATTGTTAAATGTTAACAACATCTATGAAGCTAAACTGTATTCCATTTTTAATGATTTCACTGAAATTGAATTGTAAAATTTAGTGCAGAAATTAAAATTCGCATTTTTTCCATACATTTAAAAAGAAGAGTAAATAATGAAATCTGGGAAACACATTGAAAAAATTATTAAAACAAGTTTTTACATTTCGCTGTCAGGCACGCATAACATATTCAGTTGTGGGTCGATCATGCTAAATATTAAGTTACGCCAAAAAGTTTGTCTCTCCAAAATTCTCTGCCGTCAATGCATGGTCTCATTCTAGGTGATAAAAGATTGACTTTTTTAAAAAATATTTTTGCAAGACTGAAAAAATTATTCCTATTAAGTAATAGTGAAGCAGAAAAAATTAAGGACTTTTAAGAACCTTGTACCAAAATTAAGTACTTTTAATGGCCCTTATTTTCCAAAATAAGCAGTTTTTAAGGACCGTGGGAACCCTGTAATATCAGAAATGTTTCCATACATTTAACAAGTTATGTTTGTATGCTTCATGTCCATTCTTCATTAAAATGCCACTATTTAATATACCAGGCTTTGATATAAGATGGAAAAAAAAATTTTTATATAAATATTTGAACTCATCAAAGAAACATATTTTTCTAGTTCCCTGCCATATTCATGACAGACGACTCAACTGCTGAGAAAACTGCATTAGCCACAGTTTGGCCGAACAGCACTCAACTACTGTGCCATTTTCATGTAGCCCAAGCGGAATGGCGTTGGCTATTTTCAAACAATAGCAAAGTTCAGAAGGAAGAAAGACCTAGACTAATGAAACTTTTCCAAAATGTAAGTGTCATACATGGATTTATATTTCAACTAATTTCTTTTTAAACATCAATGGATCAATGCGAGGAATGTTAACAATATAGTATATTTTATAACATTAATTTGATTTTTTTTTTAAATTAAGCAGAAAATATTTGTTCATAACATAATTTATGTACATAAGGCAAGCCTCAACTCCAGCACTCACCATGGCTTGAAAAAACCTGGATTTCTTTGGGGGAAAAAAAAAAAAAAAAAAAAAAAAGACTAGTATAACTAAGGGCTAAAAAGTAGACACCGAAGGACTGGTTCATTCCTCATTCAGAGCTGAAGCTACGATTTCTCACCTCATGACATCTAGAAAAATCGCATCCAAGGGAAATAATTTTACTTAAATACTAAAGCCTTAGACTTACCCTGTGAAATTAAGAAATATATGCAATTATAATTATTAGATATAACTTTACTTCCATTACAATAAGATAGTAGTCTAATTAAATTGTTATTATTAATTATTTTTTAGGTAATGTATGCTACTACAGAAAGAAACCTTTCTGAAGCAGTAAGGGAAGTGCAGAAGGAAAAAAAGCATCCGCAATTTGTAACAAGATTTAACTCCTTTTTCCTAAGAAGAAAAGAATGGGTCTTGCTAGATAGATCCCTAACAAGGGATAATAATACCAACAACTATGCCGAATCAACAATTCGCATAGTTAAAGATATTGTCTTAAATAGGACAAAAGCTTTTAACGTTGTAGCATTGATAGAATTTTGTCTGGAGGTTTGGGAAAAATTTTTAGCAAGAAAACTTTTGGAATATGCACACTCTCGCAGGAGAAATGTAGACTTAATATTTAAATCGGTATATGAGAAGAGTAAATTCATAAAAGATGAAAATGTTCGAGAGTGTGCACCAAATTTGTTTGAGGTGAAGAGCGATAATGTTAATAAATCATACACTATTAACACTGATTTAGGGGTTTGCACTTGCCCTACTGGAATGTATGGGGCATTTTGCAAACACCAGTGCTTTTTCCTTATGGAAAAAAAACTTTCTTTGCCTAATGCACCCCCCATTTCAGTAGAGGAAAAATATGCATTGGCCAAATTAGCTTTAGGTGATAAGTGTCCCCCTCCTTCCTTTTTCTCTGAGTTTATAGAAAGAGATACTTCAAATCCTCCTTCACTAGAGGAGGAAATGTCAGCAGAAAATAACCAATCTTATGAAACCTGTGACATGGAAATAGAACCTCTCAATCAAAATGCTAATGATGAAAAAAAAAATGAAATGGCTGTTGAACTCGATAGAATAAAAGATGTTCTTTGTCAAAGTACATTAAAAAATAGAAAAGTTAATGATATTGTTAATAAATTAAAACAAATCAAATCAGCCGATGATTTTGACAAACTAATGTTTTTCAAGTCTACTTTTCGTGAAAGAAAAATTAAAGTCCAACCGACTTCTATTTCCAGACGGAGAGTAGGCTTGACTCGCACTAAAACAAGAGTACCAGGTGGACGGCCTCCTGGAAAAATAACCAAATCTCTAAAAAGAAAGAGATGTTTAAAATCAAGTATTATCAAAAATATACCAAACGCTAAGTCACACTAGTCAAATTAATAAATTTTAACCTATTCTATTGTTTTCAAAATTAACTTTAATTTTTTTGTTACAATTTTTTTTAAACATAAAATTTGTTCACTTAATAACTTAGTGTTAATAGTATCATATTACGGATTCACAAACTTTTGTTTTTTTCCAACTTAAATTTTAATTTAAAAAATTCTAATGTTCTATAGCCATTTTCTTTCTGATGAGATAATTAAATACATAAATTCAATTCAATCCTAACCGAAATTTTTTTAATAAATACTACAAATTCTTTTAATTACAAGGAAATATTAAATTTTTTAAAATCAATCTTTTGGTTATTTTCTGATGATATTTGGGTAGCTCTTTGCTATAAAGTTTAAATGGTAGACGATTAGTCATGGTAATAGTTTAAGAAAATATTTTAATGTATTCACAGGAATAAACTTGAAAACCAAATAATGTTTATTTCCACATTCCCTAACTGAATGACATTCTTGAGACGCCTTTAAAAACATAAGAATCAATTACAAGTTAAAAAATATATTTGTATTTCACTATTTTAATATATTCATAAACAATTTTATTTTAAATTACTAAATCTAATTAAACTACTAATTATTTGCCAAAACAATAATTTTCATACTAAAGAAATCTCTGACATAAATCTTTATCGATGTTATCATATCACTATTTGAAAATAGTTCATTTATTTCAACAAATCTTCAGTGTTAATAGTGTAAGATTTATTAATTTTGTGCAATCAAACCAATTATTTTTATTTATTGTAATATAGCTGTATTATCTCATGTGTATAATTAAGAGAAAAAGTTTTAACTAAATTACTCCAGACTAGGTTAAGCTGTAATATCCATATGCCTACATTAATATATATGAAAATTAAACCTTTCCATTTCGAATATCAAACCTAAACAATTTGTTTATTTTTCTTCATGTACTTATTAAATGCGGGAGCATTAAAGTTTCCATTCTTGCAGTTCCTGTGCTGAAATATTTAAGAAATTTTACTTTTTTAATCATTTATTTTATTAATGTTTTTTATTTTATTAATGTTTATTTTAACATGTGTTACTTATTTTATTTTTTATATGTTTATTTTAATGTGTACTCAATTCATTAATTAAATATTTGAGAAATGTCTTAAGATTCTATTTCTTTTCTTATATGCTTGTTTGAATGTTTACTAAATTCAGTTTAACTTAAAAAACAATTGAGAAAGAAAAAAAGGTTGCAAGATAAAAATCAGATTTTTTACACATATTTATGAATAGAAATGTAATTGTTAGTTGCAGCAATTGGTAAAATACCATAAAATAAATAAATGTAGGGTTTATTTAAGAATTAAAATAAAATGAGAAATCAATTAAATAAATTTTTATTTCTAAAAGCATTTGCAAAACATTTTTAGCACAAAATGGTATAAAAGACAGATATAAAAACCCTCTATAATATATACCTAGAACAAAATAACTTTGTATCTGCTGTATAATAGAAGAAAGTTCCAAAGAAAATCTCAGACTCTACACAACACTTTTTCCAAGAATCTGAAACAAAAATCGTGCACTAACTTAAATTACAGTACATTTTAAAAATAAAATCACTTTGAAAACATCATAGCAACTGAATTTTTGATGAAAATTTTTCTACAAATTATGTATTAGATAAAACTATAGTTGGGGTTACGACAAAACCATAAGCCAGAAGGTAACGAGCCTAGCTCAATATCTAGGTTTTTTCGATAATAAAAAGTAAAATAAATCAACAGAAAACTTTAAAAAAAAAATTTTTTGCCCAGGGATAAAAAAAGTTTGTCTGAAATATTCTAAATATATATATGTATAAACAAAGGAATTAATAAAAGGAACGATTTAGGAATAGATATTTTAGTCTTCCATTTATGCGCATTATAAAATTACGGAAATGAAGCTTCAGAAAATGTAAAGCCTGTTTTAAATTATAGATAAACACACAAATAAAGAGAATTACTAAAAGCATGTCAAATCACTCCTTGGAATGTAAAAGCACATATTAAAACATTCACTGCACAAGATAATTAGCTACTATATTTTACAATAAATTAATTTGCTGCAATATCTTGTAATTAAAAAAAAAAACATCAGTTTGTATCTTTATAATACTTTTATTTTTATAATTTTTGCATTTGATTGTATGAAAAAAACTTTTAACACTTAAGTACAGATTACATAATTTTATGATTTAATTGGGTATACATAAATGTTTATTAGAATTAATAAATTAAGAGTAGACAAATAAATTATTCCAATAACGAACAAACAATTACAATGTGCATGCACATTTCATTAATATATGTTAATACATTTCATTCATCTTATACTTTCATGATGTTTATTATCCTACATCTTCACTACAAAATCTTTTTTACTAGTTTATTTGTATCATAATCTGTTAACAAAATTTAGAGTACTGAAATAATTTTTACTTATACATTCTTATGGGAATATGCATAGTTTCTGATTTATATTTATTACAGAAATAGTCAATTTTAAAGCACAACTTTATTTCATAATTTAAAAAAAAAATATATATATATATATTTGAAATTTAATTTTAACGGATAAAATTTGCAAACTTCTCTCTGTAGGTTCAAGCTATATCTCCTTGATAAACTCTGGATAGTATTGAAATCAACAGATACAGAACTGTCCGAAAAATCAGAGGTCTAAATACTGAAATATCAGATATCTAAAAATACTTATTGGTTGCTAAGACCATGCAACAAAGTTTTAAACTACAATATGACAACCAAGATATAAGCTACAATAATACACCTAGGTGAAAAAAATAAATATCTAGGTCATAATAATAACAATACATCCAGAAGTATACTGAAATCATTATCAATAACACAAAAAATTAAAATGATAACATTATGACTAAAACAATGATAACTATTATAAAAGGTTAAAAATATCATTCGGTACCAAAGATATTGACAGATGTTAAAATAACATAAATTATTAAGGTTGGAAAGCCTAGAAATTTATTATTAAATATTGTATTATGTATCATAAAAAAAATTTACCTTAAAGATATGCACGAATCATTAGGCATATTAATTTAAACTAAATGAAAACTATCTAAGTAAAAATAAATATCTGAATGACAAACTTTTAATAAGAAATTCTTTTATTTTATAACTTGAGGGATAAGCAATAATTATTTTAAATATTAATGAAAATTTAATTACCTCTTATGACTAAAACCAACCATTGCTCCTTCCATCTCCACCTGCATCTGAAAGGTAAATAAAACAAAAAAAAGGATTTAATGCTTATTATTGCATGCTAATTAATAATTATGCTCTTTTAAATATATATATTTTATTATAATAAACATTCTATTCTGATATATTAATAATAAAACAGTCTTCTGTTTAAATAACATAGTTCTGAACCAAAACAACTGGTTTTATCAGTTGCTGCTGAACTAATTTTTTTTATAAAGCAAAACTCCAATACATATCAAAATTAATGACGTAAACATAATTTATAAGAGCAATTTAAATTTTAATATATATAATTGCACCTGTAGCCTACACTAGTGCTATATCTACAGTAACTTCTCTTCCTGTTAGTAGTTTTATCTCTTTTCTAAAGCAGATAAACTTAACAATTTGCACATGGATGTCCAAAACAAAATTAAGCTATCTAGAAATTTACATATTGCAATTTAAAACTTTACGTTTTGGGGACATAACAGAAAAACGCAACAGCACAGCATTATTCAAACCTTTGAATACTGCATTACAGACACGTGTATCATTTATAATAAGCAATAAAAACCAATACTATTTAAATGTTTAATTCACTATTGCACGATTACATAATTATAATTTATTTAATTCTAGGATTGATTATGGAACGATGAAGTATGCTCAGCACATTCCGTAACTTTAATTAATGCAGGGAAAAACTAATGGCACACACACTATAGCGAGATGTATGGGGTGTTAGATAAACAGTAAAAGCAAAACAATTAATTAAAAACAAAATATATTAGAAATTTATCAGTTGTAATCACAAACAAAAGTTTAATGAAAATGATAAATTACTTACTTCACTGCATTATTAATCCACAGTTTCGCGCTCAACAGTTTCAACTGAAAATAACAAATAATAATGGTTGAAGAGCTTTGCTGATTCCCGCCACAGCACAGCGCCAGAAGACAGTATATGGCATGCTGCGCGCGCACAATTTTATTCTGACGTCATTGCTTAGAATTACGTATTCCCGAGAAAGAGGGAAAAAGTTGCATATTCCCCGTCTTAAGGATTGGGAACATTACGGTTTGGAATAAATAAACATGTAAAATAAATTGATACTTGATATACTTGACGTGATTTACTTGTAAAATAGGTCAAATTCATTTAGTGTTTCTTATTTTGTATTGATATTTTTATTTGATTCGTTAATTAAAATACGCCTGTGACTAGACTTAAATACTTCTGAATAAAAGGTTTTTAAATAGAAAATAGAAGTTGCAAATAGTCAAAAATTATAGCTACAATTGTAAAATAATAAAACAAAGAGTTGCTAAACTTTCTATTAAATAACATATTTTCTCAAGTTTGAAGGCAAAAAAATAGCTCCTAAGACTCAATATTTTACTTCGAAATCTAAATGAATGGCAAATACGGAATGTAAAAAAATATATTTCAATTCAGTAACAAATGGTTCTTTTTAAAAGGATTTTCAAAAAGGCAACTCACAGAAACTAATTTTTTGGAAATCACAGAAAATGATTCTTTTATGTATTCATTACTACATGAAGCTTAAATGTACTCAATTTAAAGTTTTATTATTTGTTATTATTTCCCTTTTTTTGCATAAACTCGCTAATTTCTCATAATTTGTGATTATAGATATTAATTATTCATAATTTTTTTTAAGAAAACAAAACCTTCATACACGTGAACAAACCCATCTAAGGACTGAAAAATAAATAAGTATTTTATGTTTTATTACAGTTCTTGTCCTTATAAATATCAACAAAAGTTCTTCATGATTCATTAACAACTATCTCAATAGAGGAACTCAAGAGATAAATCTGCAGCACATTCTTCATATCCACTACTATCCCAAAGAAGTATTATAAAAATAATTACTGTACAAATTCAATTTAATCTAACATAAATGTAGCAAAGATTGCAAACATGTGTATAAAAACAAATAATTTAGGTTTATTAGTTTTAGTTTTGGTGTTTAAAAACAAGTTATTTATACAATGTTAAAAAAATCGTGGAATAGATCCTTTTTACAATAAAAATTTTTAATCAAACAACAGAAAAATAATTGTTTACTATCCATTTTAGTTGCGAGCTCTCAAACCAGTTTTATAATTTTGATAGGAAGTAAGTTTCGAGATGTTTTGAGAAAAAAAAATCTCATCAATCTTTTCCCAATGTTTTTTTTTCTTTTCAATTTTGAGATTAAAAATAATAATTTGCGGATACTGTGATAATTGAAAGTAATAATATTATTGAGTAATTTTTTAAAAAGGATATGCTTGGACGTTTGAGTGGCAAGTACATATTTTTTTTCCAAAATGTTTTAAATATTGAATTTTTTTTTCTCCCAATGCCCACCTGTGTTAACATCCGTCAATTCAGGCATATACAGGGCGATTTTGTTGGCCTCTCTTTCCGGGGCACCATATTAGGTGGGTCAACGTCGCTCCCATAGTGAGGACAGATAGTACAGAGAAGGAAAGAACATCCATGCCTTGCCCGGGATTAGAACCCAGAACCTTTCTGATGCAAGGACAGCTCCCTGCCCCCTACACAGGCCGGTCGGCTAAAACACTGAATATTAAATTAAGTAAAATAAGTTGCATTTTAAAAATGCAACAAATTTAATTTTTAAAATACAAATTCTTAATATTATTAATATTAGAAATAATTATTACACATATAATGGAAATAATTACTAGACAGAATATCTGTAATAATTATTATGCATTATTAGACATTATTTATATGTAATTAATATTAGAAATAATTATCAGACATATCGGAAATAAAATAAAGATTCGTAAAACTATGCTCTAGTCTTTTCCAATTGTTTAGAAAATTGAAGCAACTGTAAAATAGCGTTGCGTTTTTTTCGCTCCGTAAAATCAATACAAGAATCAAGAAACTTAATTTAAAAATTAGTCAATAATAAACATTTAGTAGTTTTGTTTTATAAATTTATAATTATTAGCAAAACAACATCATGTTTTTGTTATAAAATAATCTGCCATGTAGTAATAAATTTTAATTTCTACAAAAAAATTGTACCTTTTTTTTGGCGTAATGAAATGATGTATCTATGAATAAAATGTAGCGTCTCTAAAAATGATCCCAACTGGCATAATTAAGTGTAAAAACAAAGTTACCAATTATGAATGATAAAGCTATTTCAAATAACAAAACAATTATGTTTTTTGTTTACGTTTGCATTTAATTCTATTTCATAAAAATTAGTTAGCTTTAAAGGATGAGACAAGGTTTTTTTGTTTGACATGCTTGTTTTTTCGAAAAAAAAAAAATTTCTAACACAGCTTTCAAATCTAAAAGTAAATCATTGCTAGTGTCGGTCGTGGAATTAACAGATTTTCCTCTTGGCTATAATATGTACACAGCTGTAAGAAACTAAGTGGTTTTATTAGCCGAGCCTAATTGGTGAGATAAAATTCTTGTAGTTTAACCGTATTAGGCAAAAGCACAGTTAACACAGAGATGCCAACTTGCTCCGGGCAGCAAATATATATTTTAAAGTGGTAGTTCATCAAATATGATTCTTGGTTTAGTAAATTCAATTTAGTAGATTTTTATTCATTACTATTTCTAAACAATTTGTAGTTTTATATAGTTCATCAGTTTATAATACTTAAGTCATGCTAACATTTTAAAAGGCTAGAAAAAATAGTCAAATATTTTCGAAATTTACTGTGTAGTTATTTACCGTTTTTTAAAATTATTTTGGAGTGTCCAGAGCAGTTGGCATCTCTGTTAACAGATTGAATACCATAGTTTACGGTTATTTGACAGTTTTGCTTGAGTATGGTAAGATGACAATTAAATAAATTATTATTTAATCATTTTTCTGAGAAATTTCAAACAATGTGATGAATGGATGAAATTTTGATGTTATGACGTAACAACCAGAATCGACCATGGTGCACCAATCCTGAACTACAACCTTGAGGTTTAATAAGCTAATCTGATGTAACACAAGAGAAAAATTCGTTAGACTATCTCTAGTTAGTGGAACTATAAGTTATCGGAACCCTTTATTCTCCTTTATAACGGATTTCAATATATCGTGAGGAACAATATATGAAGTATAGCGGCCCTTCTAAATGATAGAATATATTAATATGCATTTTGGAATTAAAAATGTAATAAAAAAATATGTAGCTGCAGTTTTTTTTAGTGTTATCTATATTCTTAGACTGGTAAAAATGCAAATTATTGGCACTAGGTTGTTTTTGTTCCCTTTATTATTTTTAGGCATAAATATTTATATTATATATATATATTATAATATATTTAAATAAATATTCATATGAGCCGTTATTTTTGAATGTAGCATAAGTACATTTGAAGCAAATTACTCGTTTGCGTACTTTCTTCTTCTTACGATATTGTTTCAGCAAATTAAGTGTTAAAAACATCCCCCTAATCGATTAACTTTTGCCAACGTTCTTAAATTATTTTTAACACTAACCCTTATAAAAAACTTTCCACTTTCGAAAATAACGGCACTCCGAACAAGGTCCTAAACAATGATTTCGTCTAACAGAAGAATTTTATTGTAAGTTGGTTTTAATATTCTAATTAGTTTTATCAAATAAATTGTTGCTTTACTTTAAATATGAGCGAATTTCTGATGGTTTGTTTAGATTTCAGTTAGACGTCTTCTCATCTATTCGTTGAGTTACATCGGTCTACTGAAAGACGTATATAACCGGCTTTGAACAGCCTACCCAATTTTGGCTTTACGACTACCAATGTTCAACTCCTTAGTCTTGTAATTTTGAATCCAATCTGGGAGACTAGAGAACTCCTAGATCAAGTATTGGGAGAAATTTGCCTTGGTGGAGGTCTTTTAGATGGAACTACACCACATTTGCGTCACGTGGAGAGGATTACTATGAAAATATCCCACGGTTATCTTGACGGCAAGGGGACTCTAAGCCATGATTCGACTGCCACTGAGGATCAACACTGTTTTCGGTGCGAGTCGGGTGCAGATTCATTTCAACCTGCCATCGTTGGGATTTGAACCCGCCTCACCTCTTTGGGAGGAGTACAGTACAGCTACAGTTCTTAGTACCAAAATATATCAGTACAATGGTGTTAGGATCATTCAAAATAATTGAAACGAAAATAGAACTAATTAAGTCAAGCGAAAAACAGAAAATAAAATATTAAAAAATTACAGCACAAAACACAAACCGTATTTTAAAATGCAAGTACTGAATTCAAATGAATTTACACGTACTGGAATCTTTTAAGAATTAAGATATTTCCGTAATAAATTTGCCAGATTACAAAATAGAAAAACAGAAACTCTAATAGAGGTTAGAAGCGTAATTAGAGGGGTCTTTTATGGCGTATTCTTACTACAATACTGAAGCACGTTTGATTCGTTAGTTACCTTGGAGTGGCCCACAAATGGATGTGCGCAAGATAATAATATTATACTAGATAATTCATAGTTTATTAGTTACTAATTAATAAGGTTGATAACTAAATATATAATTTGAATCGTTTTAGAAAATTAATATTTATTTAAAAAGCAAACGTGATTTGCCAGGTTTGTACAGATTTTTGCCACGGATTTACCCAAATTGGATTTGCACATGCTAGAAGTATAAATTTAGTTAGCAAAGATGTTTTTAGTAAATTTATTAATCCTAATAACATGCAATTAACTTAATGATTTTATATATAACTTAATTGCATTAGTCTATTTCCTTTTCTCTCTTTTCTTTTGCACGCTCCTTAGCCTTGTAATTTTGGAATCCACTTCAAGAGAACGAAATCAAGTAATAAGAACAAATTCTCCCAAATAAAGTAACGCGCGAAATTTGCCTGCGTGGAGGTCTTTTTGATAAAAGCAAATCCCATACCTGCCAACTTTTATTCTCTTCCATTATTATTTTTCCCAGTGGTATTAAAATGGAATTAAAACTTCAATTTTAAGCAAACAAATACGTTGTATTTGAGAAAACTTAAGTTGACAACCATGACAGTAACGCATATTAGTATATATGTGCTTAATTTTTGTAAGAATAGTGGTGATCAATATCATTTAAAAATTAAGATTATAAAAGAAAAAATAGTATATAATTACTACCACTTTAAATATGAAAATAAATTCTTCCGGAAAATCCGGAAGAGTTGGCAGGTATGAAATCCGCATTTGCGTTAGATGGAGAGGAAAACGTCGAAAAACATCATTTGTTAGCCCCACGGCAAGGGGACTCATGATACGTCAACCTCTGAGGACATTTTACGTCAGCACTATTTCTGGTGAGGAATTCGTATTGACCAGTAATCGCTGAGATTCAAATCCGGGTCATCTCGTTGGGTAACTAGCGCAATATTTCTTCAATACAAAATCAAAATTCAGTAAGTTGTGCGAGGCGAAAAAAAACCAAAAAAATGTAGATTTTTGCTAACTGTCTTTTTCATATTTTTATTTTTTAAATATATAGTTAAATAAATTAAGAAAATAATGGAATATTAAGAAATTAATAAAATGATGAAATTAAAATAAAATAAATTTAAAGAAATAAAATATTAAAAAATTAATAAATAAAAAAATTTAAATAAAATAAATGAAATAAAATTAAAAAAAACAATAAATAAATAAATGTTTTTTTTTAATGGCGGGCACTTGGAATTATTGTCCATTGGCCACAGAAAGTGCCAGAACTGCTAACTCTCTTTTCGTTACGCAGTGGGCACCTGTGGCAATGCCACGGCGGTGGAGCAGCTTCACCCACGTCACACTACCACAACCCGTCTATGCGTGTCACATTCACAAACAAAGGAGAAAGGAACACAGATAGAGAGAAAGAAACATCCATGCCTTGCCCGGGATTCGAACCCAGAAACTTTCTGAGGCAAGGACAGTTCCCTGCCCCTTACACAGGCCGGTCGGCTTAAATAAATAAATAAAAAAGTTAAATTTCCTTGATCAAGGCTAACCGAAAAGTAAGAAATTCATTATAAATTTTAAAGTGCATTCAATACTATTTTCATCTATAGTTTATCAATGACCCTCTATTAATTTCTAATGCACCTCAAGTACTGAAAATTTTACCAAAGCCACCCTAAAAGCTTTCGCTGCCCTTTGGTTGAAATTAAAGGCCACGTTGCGAAGCCATGCCTAAGAACATAACATAAAAACTATTGATTTGATTAAATTTTCTTGACAGTTTTGTATTTTTACTAAAAGTGTGGTAATAAGAATTATAATTTTGATAACAGGAATTTCAGCTATGCCATTACCGTAAAAACGAAAAAGTATCATGCATTATGTTTTTATTACCAGAATTTATTTTCGGTTTTATTTTTTACCTGAAATGTTTTTATACAAGTATGGCATTTTTACAGGATTTTTTCTTCGTATATAATATATAATATGATAAAAATTAAAACCCCAATTTAAGAATGATATTTAAGAACTTTTTGAAAATTGAATTGTGAAATTTAATTAATCAAAAATATTCAATTGGCACTTTAATATTTTCTAAGTTCAATAATTTACCTCATTTATAACCTGTCCTTGAAATTTTACCATTGACAATCTGACGACTCGATTAACTTAACAATAACAAAATTATTCTTATTTAATGTTTCTTCCTTTTTACTGGCATCAATTTCGTTTTATTTTCTTATTTATCTTTACTAATTACATTTCTGTTATACAATTCAAATTGAAAACAACAAACTATTTAACTTGGAATTGATTCTGTACGTGTATCCATCCATTCAACATATGTGTAGTAATTAGAGACATATTTATTTTCTGAAAAAATTCTTTCTTTCTTTTTGCCAATTCAATGCATTTTTAAATGCTATCCTTTTTAACAAGAATGAGGTCAGACTTAATTGCACCTGTATTATAAAAATTTTCTTCTTTTAACCGTTTTAAATTGCAATAATTACGTCTTTGCGATAACTTGAACAATTCCATTTTAAAAAATTTATATTTTAAAGTGAAAAGATTTTGTAGAATAAGTCTTTCAAAAATGTACTTCTTCCTTTGGTAATGAGTGCTTATGTCATCTAATTTTTGCGAGGCTGGCATTTTTCAAAAGTTTCTTTTAGGAATTAATATCATTTAGGTAAATAAAATTACCTGTTCATGGGCACACGTAAGAACAAAAAAAAATTTTGGTAAAATGTACCGTTTATTAAAATTTTTCCAAAACACGGTCATTTTTACCATATTCTGATAGTTTTCACCATACTCTTTTTCTCAGTGCATTATAACTGCATCACTAACAAGCATTTGCTTTGAAATAACCTTTTAACTTATTACAATTACACTTCGTTATAATTATAATCACACTTTTATTCAAATACATAACTAATTAAACCTATAAAAATAATAATAACACTTTAAAACAACTTCTAATGATGTTATTTAATTTCCATTAATCTTAAAAAGAAATTATTCTATAAATAAAAATTATTCAATACGTATCCTTCACATATATCTATCCTTCGGCTATCAATATCATCAACCATATTGATTACGCATAAAAAATAATAATAATTAGTACCGCACAAAGGAGATCGAGGAAAAATTGGTCGCATACTTAATTCAATCTCCACGCTTTGCATGGGTGTGGACACGTTTTTTTTATTCAGCAAGGACATACTTTCACCAGGTACGACAATGGCGGGAAATATTTCTTTTTTAAGGTAATGTAAGCTTTTAATTTGAATCTGAAATTGTATATAAAAGTCACCAGGCGATGTTAATAGGTCATTAGTTCTAATAAACTTCATCAATTACTAAACATGTTCGCTAAGGTAAGTTCATGATTCATTCAAACCATATTCTTCTCCTAATTTTCAACCTCGTAACATTTTTCTAACATCTTCTCCTTACATTTAATTTAAAACGTTTTGCTGTTCCCTAAGTTCATGAGTCATTTAAACCATATTCTTCTCCTAGCATTCAACCTTAACAATTTAAAACGTAAAATTGTTCACTAAGATTAGTTCATGATTCATTTCAAACCATATTCTTCTCCTGATATTCACCCCTAACAATTTAAAATGTAAAAATGATCACTAAGGTTAGTTCATGATTAATTCAAACCATATTCTTCTCCAAACATACAACCTTAACAATTTTAAAAGTTCTTTTCAGTTTACGATTTCAAGCATTTTCAGCTTTTAAACTCTAATTGTATCTCTTGTAACTCTTACTGTAAAACTAAACTCTTTATTGTATCTAAGTTATAATTATTGCACCTTATACAGTTTATCTCCTGCTGAAATACACATTGGTAATGGTACTTTAATGGTAATGATAATGGTAATTTTTAATGGTAATTTTCAATGATAATGGTAATTGAATTTAATTGCCATTTCAAAGCTTTTTATATTTTATTGTTGAGTAAAAAAATTCTTAAATTATAATTTTTAAATTTAAAGCCTTACTATGACATATTTCTTAATGAAAATGTGATTAATAAAATTTTTAACTATTTAAGACAGTAAAGTAAATTTTTGAAATGTCTGCAAAATATGAAATAAAAATGTTTCTAACTAATAAAAATACAAGTTAAAAATTGTTTAACTTATTTCATCTTTAAAAAAAAGTGTTATTTTTTAGTGGAAATTATAATTTAAATTTATTAATTTACAGTAGTAAATTTGCAAATTTCATAAATTAAAAATTTATTTTAGCGAAGTTCTTATTGAAAACGGGATTGCAAAAATTTCTTATTGCTTTTCAAAATAACCTGCATGTGTTAAATTATCATCAATTTGCTAAACGAAAATGCGAAAATGTTTGTAGCTAGTAAAAATGTGAATTAAAAATTTTTGAACTTTTTGAATTTTTTGCTTGAAAGTGCGTTATTATTTTCTTTAAATAAGAAGCATATTTCGAAGCAATAAATCAAATTTGTCCATTTTATCAAATTTGATTTCATTGTTATTGTTAATTTGAAAACGTTACAATTTTGTTTAATCTTCCACGTCCTACGGAAGTTCATACTATGTAACGGATTATGGAATAATAAATAATTTCTAAACATTTTAAAATTAATATTCGGATCGCGAAATTAAATTGATTAGTGATTTTAGAACAGTTTTGTTCAGTTTTCCTGATACCAATTTCGAACTCAAGAAAACTATTTTATTTTAAACGCAGAAGCATAACAGAATATTCAAAATTATCACATTCTGATATGTAATTATTTTTAAATAAAGCTATTGTGTTACTAATTCTCTTTTCCCCTTCAGGTTGTTGTTCTTTGCTTCACTGTGGTTGCTGTTCAAGCTTCCAACATTGTCAGCCATGTTGGTCTAGGTGCGCCATTAATCAGTTCTGGTCTCCATGGCATCGCTACTAAATCTGTCTTGGTCGCTCCTGCCAATATTGCTACTCAAAAGGCTGTCATCAACCACGTCGCCCCAGTTGCTCATGGTGCTCCCGTAGCTATTAGTTACGCTGGTCATGGTTTAGTTGCTGGACAAGGCATCGCTGCCGCTCCTGCTACCATTGCTACACAAAAGGCTGTCATCAACCACGTCGCCCCAGTTGCTCATAGCGCTCCCGTAGCAATTAGTTACGCTGGTCATGGTTTAGTTGCTGGACATGGCATTGCAGCCGCTCCTGCTACCATTGCGACACAAAAGGCTGTCATCAACCACGTCGCCCCAGTTGCTCATAGCGCTCCCGTAGCAATTAGTTACGCTGGTCATGGTTTAGTTGCTGGACATGGCATCGCTGCCGCTCCTGCTACCATTGCTACACAGAAGGCTGTCATCAACCACGTTGCCCCAGTTGCTCATGGTGCTCCCGTAGCAATTGGTTACGCTGGTCATGGCTTAGTTGCTGGACATGCCATTGTAGCCGCTCCTGCCACCATTGCTACACAAAAAGCTGTAATCAACCACGTTGCCCCAGTAGCTCATTATGCTCCAGCTAAAATAGGACACGGATTACTCGCTATGCCTGTTCTTGCTGTTAAAGGAATCCATGCCGTTCCCGCAACAGTTGCTACTCAAAAAGCTGTTGTTAACCATGTTGCTCTCGCCAATCATCATGTGGCCGCAGTCCCTGTTGCTGCTCCCGCTGCCATTGGATACGGTAGTCATGGACTCGTTGCTGGTCTCGGTCTTATCGGAGCTCCTTTAGCTTCAGGACATGGTTTGCTTTGATCTTCGTACGACCTTTGCTATAAAACTACTCATTTCATCTTAGTATTAGGAAAAGCTATTTTATACATTATTAATTTTTGAACATACTGTAAAATAGGACTATATAAATAAAATATTTATTTTTGAAAACAAAAAGCGCTTTATTCATTTTTATTTCTGGTGCTGCATAGTAATACGACTCGGAACAAATAATACTATTTGGGGATCACTTTCCGAAATTGCACAGTAAGTCTTTTTTAAGTAATTAACAAATAGCAAACATATATGAGTTATATTTTTTAGGTTACGCTTTGTTGAATTTGTATTTACATGAGAAAAAAACTTTACATTTAAATGATAACCGAGTTATGTATACACTTTACATATTTTTTTTTTCATTTGTATTTTTCAATAAGCAATATAGATTTTGATCACTTGGAAGTTAAAATTTTCAGAATTCGTAGTCGTGCTGTTTTAAGAAATACATGAATCGAAAGTGTTTCATTCCATATTTCTTAGTTATACGCACTAGAAAAGGCTCTAATCTTACAGACATAGCAGGGCTCTACAAGCCATTTGAAATAAAATAAAATAAAAAACTCTTTAATGATAATATATTACCAACACATTAATATTAAAATGACAGTGAGATTAAATACCATTAATTTGAGAATAGTTAAGCCACAAGATGTTCTTTAAAAACGTATTGTAAGTCTGACAGATATTCTGATTATAATTCTAGGATTATACCACATGCTAATGGAATATGGGAAGCATAATATGTTTTGTAATTTTAATGATTGGATTGAAATTTATTTATTTTATGCAACATTAGATATATTTCTGAAACATTTTTTACTTTTTACTCCATTGAAAATGAAACTACGAGTACATTGAAAAATTAGTAATGTAAACACACATAGTTGTAAAAGTAAATTCTGTAAAAGTTAAGTACCAACTGTTAAATATTTGTTAACTTTAAATAATAATAGACAAAATATTAATTAAATTATATCACAGCAAAACAAAGAGGGAATAAAGATTAAAACAAATAAGAAAATAAATAAAAAGTAGGTCAATAGAAGAGTTGAAATTGTACGATATGAATATTTGGAGAATTACTTTTTATAAACTATATTAATATCTCTTATTAAAACTTCTAAATAATTGTCGTAAAATGAGGTAACAGTTAAGCAAAGCAAGATGATTTTCACAAGGCATACACGTTTCTTTAAGTTATACGGCTTCTAGCTAACTCGTTATTATTTTGTGAAAAGTTTTCAAAAACATGAATTGTTAGAAGCGATTTAAATTTTAAAAAAATTAGAAGAATTCTTTTTAAATAATTGAAAACTTTTTTTACAACCAACGCAAATAAAAACTAAAAGGAACGATTAAAACTTAACTATAAGAAAAAAAACCATTATTTTATATTTTATATGTTCAAAAATTATGTAAATAAAATTTAGCGAGTTACTTTTGGTGAATATTTTTTTATCGAGTCTCTTGCCAGAAGAAACCATTAACTATATAAAAGCGGACATTATTTTCAGCTATAGCAATCAAAACAAATTGTAATAAATTTTAATTTTATTAATTTAGAACAAAACTTAAAACAGAAAATTTAACTAGAAAATAGTATATTGCACTTTCCGCCAATACAATGATGCGCGGTATTGTTCGGGTTTACCATCTGACAATAGAAAGTATTATAATATTAAAAACGTTTTTTTTAAAAAAAAGGAAGTTGTTTTTGCATTTCTTCAACTATTCTGTTCCATCAATGAAAAACTCTGTCAGATCATTCTCTTCATCTCCATTTTCGCCTTTTTTTATTAAGAATTGTAAACGTCATCACAGAGAATTAAAACATCATAAAATACAAATGATCTGATTGGTACAAATATGAATCACTCTTAATTAAAATCAATTTTTTTCTCAGCGAAGAGAAACAGTTGCTGATATTTCGAACAAATAAAATAACGGCAAAATAAGTGGCAACAGTATGTCTATTCAATTCGCCGTAAAGTTTACGGTTAAAAACATTTCTTTACCTTGTCGATTTTTTAACCATTTACAACTGGTAGGGTTAATAAAACGTGATTACAAAACTCGCTACAACTCGTGATACTGTCAAACTCCTGATTACGGTTTTGTAAATATTTACTTCCTAGCATGGTTTCAAAACCAAAGCAATGAAATTTAACTGTACGTTCGAGTTTAGTTAGGTTAGGTTTTTTCGTATTAGATAATGGGCATGGGAGTTGGGTTACAAAACTACAAAAAATGCATTTACTTAAAAAGATATTTTTGAATACATATAATGGTATATGAGTTTGTTTTAATCTTTATTTATTTTTCATTTCTGTTTCACTCGCGGACACAGTTTTTGTACTTTGGTTTTTCCCTTTTATTTTCCCTTTTGCCTTGGCAAAATAATATTATCTTCCTCACATTTGTTTGTTTTCCTCTCGTTCGTCTAACAAGTCTTGAGATTACTATATCTGAGCTCTCCTAAAATGCTGATTTTTATTATGATATTCATATTTTTTGAAGCAAAAGAAGTTATCATATTATTAAGTATTAACTGTTATGAACTTAGATACTACAACTTTAATCCTCTACTCTTCACGGAAAATAGAATTGTAAAACAAAATGAGTCACGATGCATATAAATTTTGAAATATTTATTGGCCAAATTATTACATAGTGAAAATAACATTTGCAAATTATAATTTTTTTTTTGTTCTACAATACATATTGTGAAACATTTTCCCAGTTATTCATCTTTTTATTTTGGTTTTCATAATTTTTTACTTTTTTTGTTAGAGACAAAGGGGGGACAATACGCAGACAATTTTTAATTTTTTTAAATTTTTTTGGTTGGTTTTTAAATTTAAATGTTCTTGTAGAACTTTGAATACTGTACAGAGCTATTGTCAGAATATAACTATTTTTATTGCTCTATGGATGCATCTTTAAAATATTTTTCCACTTTGAATCTATTTCTGAATATTTCATTGGTATTCTTTTTTTCTATTTTCGATCTGCTTCTGATTATTTTATTGATATTCTTCCTTCCTATTTTCAATCTGTTTCTGATAATTTCATTGATATTCTTTTTTCCACTTTCAATCTGTTTCTGATTATTTTATTGATATTTTTTTTTCTATTTTCGATCTGTTTCTGTTTATTTCATCGATATTCTTCTTTTCCATTTTATTTTTAGAGAAAATACGATGTCGTCAAGGCTGCAATTTTTCCTGTTAGGCTGCAATTTTTCCTGTCCTCCTCTTTTAAGCTTTTACTTCCTTCTTTCTCTTCAAACTTCAAGCTGTCTTTTTTTTTACGGCATAGGTAAAAAAATACCTACGACTGATCTAATATGCTGTTAACTGACTGTTTAAACGTTAGGTATACTACTACCATCAACGGTATACAACTACCCAAAACGCTTAGCAAATTTTTGAAGAAGTACTAATAAGTACTATTACTGTAAATTGTTGATTTAAATATCTTTTTAAAGGCTATGTTTCCGTAAAAACATATGCATGACACTAAATGTAGATGTCAGTTAGTTGTTTCAAATTTTGCAGATTGGTTCAAATTGCACTCCCAGAATCGGTTTTTGACGTTCTATTTTATTTTCTTCAATTTTGAACTTCTGTCATTCTATTGTAATCTATTGTAATTGGTTTCAAAAGTTGGTATTTCTATTGTAATTGGTTTCAAAAAGTAGCTCTTTACTGGTTTTGTACTAAATGTAGATGTAAATTGAATATTGTTCCATATTTTGTAGATTGGTCGAAATTACACTCCCAGAAACAGTTTTTGATATTCTATTTGGTTTTCTTCAATTTTAAACTTCTGTCATTCAGTTTATTTCTATTGTGTTGGATGGTTTTCAAAAAGTAGCTCCTTACTGGTTTCGTAATAAATGTAGATGTAAGTTCAATATTATTCCAAATTTGGCAGATTTGTTCAAATTGCACTTCCAGAAACAGCTTTTGACATTTTATTTTATTTTCTTCCATTTTTAAACTTCTGACATTCAGTTTATTTCTATTGTGATTGGTTTAAAAAAGTGGTATTTTACTGGTTTTTGTTCTAAAATTGCTCCCGTTCAAAAATATATTTTACCAGCATGAAAATTTAGAATTCACATTTAACCGGAAAGAAAACATTGAATTGCAGAAAGAAAAAATAACACTTAAGAAATTTAGCATCCCCGTTTTTGAGCTGGATCTTTTGTATTCTTGGATTTTTTTTGTCGTAAAACTTTCTTCAAAAGTCGCCACTTTCGCTTGATATAGTTCTTTTTAGGTGGAGTGAGTTCTTCAACACTCGATTCCTCTTCTCTCACGCTTAATGGTTCTAATTTTAGATCGTCTGGATCAATTTCGATGTTATATTCAGCTATTTGTTCGGCTGTTCTGGTGGTATCAAACAAACAACTCTGAATGTGTGAGTAATTGTTGTTTCTTAAGTCCTTCCATGTGTCAATATTAGAGTTCTCTTGGCTCCTAGAAGCTCTTCCCTCGCTCAGGTGTAGGGGTAACGGGGTGAGCTGTGAAACATTGTAGATGTCAGTTGAATTTTCATCATGTTTCATTTCGCCAGAGTCGATCTTATTCTCTATATTCATTTGGTCTACACTAGGTTCTCCATCCAGTTGTTGGGGGGAAAGTTGAAGAATATTGCAGTTGTTAGTCGCATTTTCTTCACATTCAAATTCAGTGGGTATATCAGAGTAGGTCTTGTTCTCTGTGTTCATTTCATTTATATGCTTAGCTCTTCTCTGATTCACTTCCTTCCGGATCAGGGCGAGCAGTGAAAGAAAGTAGGGGTTAGGTATGTTCTCTTCCCGTCCAATGGCAGAGTTGATGTTGTCCTCTGAATTCAGGTGATTTACGAAGTAAACTCTTTCCTCACTCAATTCTATTCGGAGTGGGACGAGCTGTGAAAAATTGGCGGTGTTTGGCACAATTTCTTCTGTTTCATCTTCTGTGGGTATGTCAAAGTTGGTCATGTTTCCTGTATTGGTCTCATTAACAATGCAAACTCTTCCCTCACTCAGTTCTTTTTGAAGTGGGGTGAGTGGTGAAAAATCGCTGGTGTTAGGCGCATTTTCCATAATTTCCTTTTCCTTG